TTCGAACTTCTTTGCTGATTTCTTCTGTTTTCGGTGCTGGATGTTTCTGTTGTTTAGGCTTCCTCCTCGGCTCCGGTTCAAGTCCCATATGCAACTTGCTGCCTGGCGCCCAGGGCTTCTCCGCTGTAACGCAATACTTTCGTGTCAGATCCATCTGAAAAAGAGAGATTTTCTACCTAGAGGTGGCGCAATCTTTCGGCACAAATTCAACCACGTCAGAGGTTTCTGCAAAACTTTCGTTCCCGGAAATCCAACAATGCTCAGCTCCAGGAGCCGGACTGATTGGAAAGGCGAGACTTTCTGAAAGCCGAAAGCACCGATCCAAGTGTCTAGAAGCTCGGGAACCGCCGGCAAAACCAATGTATGTACATCCAGTGATCTGAGCACCTAGGAAATATGTGCCACTATTGGCTCCAAAGAAACAAAGAAGAACGGAGTAACCATACCTGCTCGATCACCTCCAAAAGCCGCCGGCACATTCCTTGCCTACGATATTGAAGCCGCGTTCCAATCAGTGGCATCTCCGCAATGCTGGTGCCATGAACTCTACCAAAATAATAGCAACAGTCAGCAAACAGAGCTCAAACAAACCACCAAACACAGACCTAACAGCAGCAACTGATATGAGCTCATCTTTGTTGTTTTCCAAGAGGATGGTGTAAAATCCACGAAAATCCAGCCTTTTCACATCGGCACTGCAACCATATCTCAGATCGATGAGAGTCATGTAAACCCAAGAAAACAACACAGCTCAAACCTTCGATTCTTCAAAATATGAGCAATTATGTCGATTTTGCTCCGGGGATCAATCATGGGCGAGAAGCACTCTCGCATCACGCTAAGAGCGAGGGCAATTTTACTACAGTGTGCGGTTACCGTTTCCATATCCGCATCCTCGTCAAGGTCCGCTGAGCGGAGAAGGGTCCAACTAAATCCTCCGTCCATGGGGCTCGTTTTTCCGACGAGTTCTCTAAGGCCACAGAAGATCTGCACGCGTCCGAAGTGACAACGATATTTCCCCAAGCATCACAAAAACTTTTTGATCGTACCTTTCGACACGTTTGGCTACAGAAACGACTTGAAGCAAAAGACGCGCCTCCGTCGTTGAGACACTCGACATGATCTGCAGAAAGACAGCGTGATTTAGCACACAGATTTTTCTTTTTATTCTACTCACAGTTACGTTCGCATTGGGTACAATATAAAACTTCGCGCCCATCGAACTGACCAGCGCCACAAACAGGACAGCGGCACCTCGGACAGAACCAATCTCCTTCCGGAAGGCTCTATAGAAGAGAAACAGCCGAGTTACTCGCTTCTAACAAGAGATATCCACAAGAGGTAGATTACCTTTAGCAGAATACAATGGAGGTGGAACGTTGCTGGGCAGTGATCACAGCATATGAGCTGACCACCCTCTCCGCAGAGACCGCAACATTCATCACTTTCATCCACGGTAAGCTGCCCGTTCGCAGGCTCATCGCACTTCGCTTGCTCTATCTTCTTGAGGGCCTGCTTCTGGCACTCAAGCACAGAGCGGCCATCTTCCAGAGTTAGCAGTGCGGCCGTCCTGTGAACTTCATCGCCTGCGTGAACCTGGAAGCTCGTCATGCTAAACACCTCGTTGCAGCACTTGCACAAGATCCCATCGCGACTGATCACCCCACTCGCGACTTGGTTTGAGTCCTTGTTCACGTATGAGACCGCAGCGCCCTCTGATAAGATTTCTCCGTCTATAAGCCAGGAGAAAATCGACATGCGCTTGTTGGCCTTCTCGTCTCCGCCATCCTGCTTCCCCCTATCTGGAGCCAACAAAAGAGCGTTCAGCCTTGGCCGTTCGCTCTTCTTGGACTTCATTGACGGGTCCAGTTTCTTCGATGCCCTCAACCTCCTCTTTCCGCCATTTGAATCAGGTAACAGCTCCCCAGGCTTCCTTCTCACGATTATTTGGAGCTGATACGAGTGCATGGCGTCCCTCACAGGCTTGGGGACGTTTTTGTTCTGCTGCATCCAAGCCTTGCATGCCGAAGTCAGCGAGTGATAGCTAGTCCCATCCGGTGAGATGTAGTAGGCCTCATTGGAAACTCGACTCTCACGATGTCTCTCTCTGTATCCTTTCTTCCAGCCGGACTCCTCAAGGTTCTTGATCGCATTCTCGCGAGCGGCCTTGAGTGACTCCTCTCGCCGGCTGTAATCAATGGGAACCTTCTGCCTCTTGAGCATTCGCGAAAGAGCCAGTCTGTTCCGCTCAACATTCACGTCGTGAGCAGAATGAAAGCTCCCCTGGCTGCTGCTATCCATCGTGCACAAGGCACGCTCGCTACAACTCCCGTCAACTTTGTCGTCCTCGCTAACCTTGTGCTCGTCTCCAAACAACGAATCCTCCGCCTGCGTGTTTATGCAGCACACAGGAATCGACAGCGTCCTTGTGAGGCAGTAACCTTCGCCGTCGCCGTCCGGCTGGAACGTACGTGAATTATCCGGCTTCAAATCACTGTCTTCCATCCACTCGGGCTCTAACGACTCGTTCTTGACATCCACCACCAAGTCTGAGGAAGCACCACTCTGAAGAGCTTCCGGTTGAATCCCATCGAGTTCCTGCTTTACTTGAACTTCCTTCTTCGGTTTCTTGGCCTCGGGTTCCACGCTCTCCACTTCTTTCCGCTTCTTCTTCCGCTGAAAGGTCTTTTGAGGCTTCGAAAACCTGCTACTTCCAGCGTCAACCACGCCGTCCAACGCCCCGCAACCCCTGCCACTCCACGCATTTGTTGAAGCATCCCATGCCTGGGATACCCTCAAACTATCCACACTAAACTCCTGCTTCTCCCCGTCATCCGGGAAGAACACCTGTACATGCGTCAAGAAGACCCCGGGAACGTCCAGCAGCAGGCCTTCTCGCCAAGAATCGTCGAATGCCTCGACGCGGAGCCCCCTCTGCCAGTCTCCACGACACATTTCCGAGCGATCCGGCGGTCTTGGTCTCACCCGACTGGATGCCTCGGAATTCCTGCCTAGAGAAATCGATTCTTTCCCACCAGAATCGTACTCCACTATCCTAATTCCAGCTCGGGCCTCCACAACCTTTGCCGGGCACCAGCAAATTCGCGTTCCATTCTTCCTGACCTGTGCTTTGAAAATATTCCCCCGCTAGAAGCTCGGAAGAAGAGAAGCAAGAAAGCGCTTACCTCGACAAGCTCCCCGGCAAGAAAGCGAGAATCGTCGCACACATCCACCTCCATCGCTCGCGCTCCTGCTGCCGCTGCATGCAATGCCGCATGCCCTAGCTCCGAAAACCCTGGAGATCTTTCGCCCGCCTCTCCAGCGGCCGGGCCTTCCAGCTGCACGCCGCGACGCGCTGGTCCCGCAGCGGCAGCACAATCGCTCGTCCCAGAGAAAGAAGATTTTAGGGTTTATCAAGTTATCCCAAGAACCCTAAATTTCCGAGGAGTTGGGATGATCTCCGTCATTTGCGGTTGGGAAGAACCCATCGATCGATGCGCCGGGTAAGCTGCGGGAAATTCGCCGCCAGCAGCCACCTCCCCGTCAATGGCCGCTATCAAGCAATCAATCCATCGCGAGAGAGCTCCAGAAAATCATCGAGCTCACGCGATCCTCCGGATTAGCGCGTGCCAGAGTGACCCCACTGCGCTGCTCTCGCTAGCTCCACACGTGCTTGCTGGATCTATCAATCAATCCATCCATCCATCAATCTAAAAGTATTTGCTTCTTCGTCTTCTTCTTCTCTTTCCCCCTCCTGGTCGTCGCCAGAAACCTCGCAACGGGATTTCCTCCATACCACATTCCCAGAAATCGAGGAAAGCGAGAGAGAGGAGAGAGAGAGAGAGAGAGAGAGGGAGGACAGGGAGGGACGCTTCTTCTTCCGCTCAGCTAGCTATTTAAGGCCGTATAGGTAGCTCTCCTCCTTCCCAGGTAAATCCGCCATAGCTCCAAGCTCAAACTCATAAGCTAATCAAATCAAGGAAGAGCACCACACCACCTTTGCTTTCTTTCCCGTTTCTTTCGAGTTTCTTTGCTTCCATCCGAGGAGATTTTGTCGCTTGATCGTGTTCCAAGTAAATGCCCGGCGAGAAGCTAGCGAAACCATTAACCTTAGACTGCTGTTCACATCGCCGCATTCATTCGATTTCTTCCAAGCTCCAGTCCTCCCCCGCATGATCCACACGTCGCAGTTGCCACCATCGCATCCGCGGCGATCGCTGCTGCCACTGCTCAACTCGCCTGATCAATCAATCCGTCGCAATCATCCTTCATTCACAAGCTCCATTCTCTATTTCAATTCAAAACAATCTGACCAGGCCCCAGAGCCACATGAGACAAATTTGATTACTCGCAAATCCTCAATCAAGAAATTGGAAATGCTCACACTAGCCATAGCCAGTCAATGGTCAAGTGGAAGAACGAAGAACAGCCATTATGGAGCAAACCCAAACTCCAACTCTTCTTCCACGCACCAGTTACAGACGAGGCTTGCTTAGAGCGCCATAGCCAAGTAGCACTAACTTCTCACACACATCTACACACATTTTCACACACTTACACTACCTACTACACACACATTCTTAGCGCAGCTTTCAAGGTTCTAAATGATTCGATGAGCGAACAATCTATAGCCAGCTTGAATCGCCCGACTCGACACCCGGGCCCCGACCCGATCGATGAAAATCTCTGATCGCACAAGGAGCGAGTACACTGATGGGACGAAATGAGTGAAGGAAAGAGCACAATACAAAGCAAGCGAACAAAACAAACCTCGATGAATTATGTGTCTTGTCTCCTCCAGGACATCCTCCTTTACCCTATAGACTATACGAAAGATCGCCACCGCCACCATTCTCCAGATATCGATCAAGATCGATTATATTCGTATCATGGTCTAAAGAGATACGCGATGAAGCGATTCCTTCCATGTCTTAGCTTAATTCATGGAGCACGCTCCAGAAACCAACAAACAATACAAAGCCACCACTACACCACCCCACAAAAGCCAACAAAAGTTAGTTAAAATTCCTCTTAAAATGCCTGCCTTGCTCCAGGCAGATCGAAAGCTACACCACACTCTTTTTGATCGATCCATCCATGGATCGAGCGATCGATCGAGGCGTGATCGCTGTGGCTTCCAATCCCAAATATTATAATAAGAGATACTTTCTTTCCCACCGCCTGCCTACTGGAGAGCTCGCAGTCCCGCTCAGAGCGACATTCTCAAGAACCTGCCTTGTTCCTCCTTACTTTGACCGTGCCCGCTGACCGTGCTGACCGCCTTGACCGGCGCCACGGACCGTATGATCTCGGCATCCAGCACGAGAGGAGAGTGGTGTTGGTGGTGGTGGTGGTGGTGTGGATCGGGACGAGCAAACACCTTGGCCTTGGAACAATCTTCACTGCCGGGCTGATCAACGCACACCGCCGGCGGCATGCTGTCCTGCCAAGTTATGCAGCTGCTGCCCACGGCATTGCTGCTGCACGGCGATTGATCGTTGCTGCTCCACTCCTTGGCGAATGGAAGAGCGATTGCGCTCGCGTTCGCGGCGATGGTGGCGGCGTTTTGATCCATCCGGCAAAGCCGCTTGTCGTCGACGTGATAAGCTTGAGCTGGGTGAACGAGAGACGTTTTTGGTGGGATCGCAGCGATCACTGGCTGCTGCTGCTGTTCGCCCAGATTTGTATCACTCCTGCTCTTAGCGAATCCTCCCAGATCATCGCAGCTGCTGCCGGATTGATTCCACGCGGCTGCAGTGACAGGTGTAACGGTGACCGGGCTGCGTCTCCCGACTTTCTTGAACCTTATGCCGCAAGCATTGCAAAGAGACTGCAAGAAGAACACGAGCAGCATATACGTGAGAAGGAATTCACCATGGAAAGTTTGCTTGCGTTTGAGAAAGAGAAGAGTAGAAAAAAAACGACACTGAAACGAACCTTTGGGCCGAGCGGACCATTCCTCCACAGCGGCGTGGAGCTCGTCCCGCAGTGAGCACAGATCCTGGGAACGTTGCGCGGATCGACGTGAGCGTCCACTCCACGGAACCTGGAGCGGGTGGAGCACGGATCCAAATTGTTCTTGCTCCCCAGGCCGCCATTGCCGTTGCCGCCGCCGCCGCCGCTGCCACCCGTGTTAAACTCAAGGAACCCGAACTTGTGAAGCTCCTGGGACGGCGAGAAGTTGGCGGCCGGAAACTGTGAATGCAGCACTGGGTGGCGGGCGTAAAAGTCCTTGGAGGTGCTGTGGGCGGCGAAGCGGGCGGCGGCGGCGGCGGCGGCGATCCTTCGAGCGGCCGCCTCGGCGGAGAAAGCCCGCTGCTGCTGGAGGAAGAGTTCGTTGCTCGTCGCCCAGTGCGTTCCAGATTGCTGCAATGCAAGAAGAAAGAGTGTGTGAGATCGTGAGATCACATATAGTGTGCTTGTCAGCTTAGCAGGAAACCAAGGATAAAAAAATGGAGTTAAAAAATCGCGACCAACAGTGGAGCCGGATGAGAGAAACAACACTTCCACCAATCACCCAGACAAGCGAACAAAGCGAGCAAGGGAACGAAGCAAAGAAATGAAAAGAAAGAATGTAGCGATGGGAGGAGACACAAGAACACCATTCTTCTCTCAAACGGTCCATTTTCTTTCTATCCATTCTTTTTGCCATTACCTGATAGGAAGGAGGAGAGGCCAGCTTTGGAGGATCGATCGTCTTGGCCGGCTCGGAGATGGGCGACCCGGCGCGCGACAGCCGATTGGGCGCCTCGTTGAGATCCGCTGATCTCGATCGCGTCAGGGCATTGCCGAGCGATAGCGTGCAGTCGACCGCCAGCGAGGGCAGGGATGCGGCGGCGGCGGCGGTGGCGGTGGCGGCGGCAGCCGGATCGGCGAGATCCCAGTGGAGGTGGAATCGCTTGGTGGGCGAGCTGGGGCAGGAGGAGGAATTGGCGGCGGCGAATCCCCGCTTGGGCGAGCTGTTGCAGGAATTGGGCCACGAGGAGCTCACCACCGAATTGGCGGGGCTCAGGAAATCGGAGGATAGCGAGAGGCAGGTACTGGGCGACGACGCCGCCTCCATTCGTTCTTCCCTTTTCATCTAGCCTAGGATCTTTTCTTTCTTCGATCTTCCTCGTCGCCCAGCTCTGATCAAGAACACATGATGTTGGTGGTCCTCGAATCGAAAGATCTCTTCCTTTTATCCCTGCCGCGGCTACCAGAGACCCTGGGGATGAGAGAGAGAGGGACAGGAGGAACACCACAGGAGATCGCAGCAATCATGCTGCATTCCATTCCATGGCTTCGTCGTGGAGCTCACGGCCAGAGAAGAGGAAGGAGAAGAAAGAAGAAGAAGCCAACAAGAGACCGCTATAGGTAGCAGCGAAGACGAAGAACTGTTTCTACAGCGATGGATTCATCAGAAGCTTGCTCCTTTCTCTGGACTGGAGGATTGATTTGTGAGTGATGGGGATTCTTTGGAAAGGCCCAGCGGCAGCGCAGCAGCAGCAGCAGCGGCGCAGGATGGTATAATGGCGAGCCTCCAAATGAAAATCCTTCCTTTCTTCCACTTTCTCTCTCTCTCTCTCCCTCTCGCTCACAGAGATCCGTCAAGACGCTGACCCCTCGCCTTGTCTCTAGCTTATAGTAGCAGCTAGAACGCAAAACACCTTAACACCACTAGTTTTTATAAGGCGATCAGATCAGACAGAACGGAGGGCGATCGATCGATGGAGTCAAGTGGGGTTGCGCGGGTGAGTGAATGAGTGATAGAGATCAACGTACACACGATCGCCCAATTCTCCATCGAAAGAGACACGCTCTTGAATGAGCATGAGGAAAGATCTCTCACTATCTCGTCGAAAAAAAAAGAGAGAAGGGAGCGATCGATCTATCTATCTAGGAGGATGATGAATGTGGATGGGATCTATCTCAGGGAGGCTGGCATGGCTTGATGATCTCGTTTTCTCTTTTTTTCTTTGTTCGTCATCCGTTCCGTCAAACAGTCCTTCCTCTATCTCTTTCTCTCTCTTTCTCTCCGACCTCGACCTCTGTGACCACTTTCAGAGACCGGGGGCCGAGCTTGCCAGCCGATAGATAGATATCGCCATAAAGAAACGAACAGAATTTCCTTCTCGGCCTTGTTGGTTTCTGGACGGATCAGAGGCCGGCCTGGCTTGGCCAACAGTGAGGAAAGAATTTCTTTTCCTCCATGTCTCTGGAAGAAAAAAGAAAAGAAAAGAAGAACAACACTGGGAGGATCCAGTAGCTCTCTCTAGCAGAAGCCACAGAAGCCACAGAAGGAAGAGAAGAAGGGCGGGCGTCGACCAGAGGGGGAGACGAGCGAAACGAGATTCCGGGGAAGAGGTGGAATATTAAACACCATGAAAACATTGTGCGGGGATTAAAAAAATGGATGGCTTTGCTCCAGAGGAGGCAGCAGCCATAGCCAGAAAGCACGGGATGGATCCGAAAACGTCAAAAGCCCAATGAATGCCGGTGCCAGACAAGGCACATGCATTGGGATCGAGTAGTGACCCGACCCGACCGCCGCGATCATCAAGCCGAGACGACGAGAGATCTTTTCTCTCGAGTCCTCATCTATCTATCCTTTTCCTATTTTTCTTCTTTTTCTTATTCTTCGTTGTCCACCGCAGGCATTAGAGCGATTAAGCCAACCTTTTTGTTCATTGCGTTCGCTTGTTCCTCCCGACAGCTCCCTGGGCTTCTCGTCTCTATCGTGTTCTCCGGTTCTGGGAATCTAGACAAGTCGACAGGAAGGAGCTTGGTAGATCCTTGTCTATCTCTTTTCCCCCGTTACCCACAGCTTAAACTCTTGGATGATTTGCGCATGATAGCCTCCGGATCTCTCCTAAGTTCGTGGTTTTGTGTTGGCCTGATCCACGGAGAGAGTGGAGAGGGACCAGGGCGATCATCCACGAATAAAATAACTTGCACGAAAGAAAAAAGAAATCTCCACAACTCACAACACCCCACCTTGTCCATAATTGCCTGATTGCGATCCAACAGTGAAAACACCACCATCTCCATGACAGAAAACACATTTTTAAAGTTCACAATATATGCTGTCTTACGGCCCTTGGGCCATCACTACTGGCTGCCGTGCTGCTTCTTGTTGCTGCTGCTTAGATCTCCCATATCTCTGCAGCATTCTCAGATCTCTCAGTGTGATGCTTGTGCTTGAGTGACCACCCAAAAAACCTCCCCAAGGACCACAAGTTCGCAATTTTTAATGTAGGTGTGATATCTTCCCACTTAGTTTTCTTCCAGTGGAAGGGAGCTGTGTACGCTGTACAAGACCATAGACGTAATAGTTAGTGAGCGACTGTGTTCTTGTTGGTGAGTTGTTTCTCTGTGTGGATCTTTGGCTACAATTTTCCAAGTCCCCCGCAGTGCCAGGGGGGGCTCAGATCAATCAATCAAACTATGGCCGAGCTTTTGAGATAGATGCCGCTGCAGACAGCTAGCTATAAGATATACATCAAAGCTTTGCTTTCTCTTTTGTATTGTATATGTGCTTTTTCTTTCTTTCCTTTTTTTTTTTTTTCCACTCTCTTCTTTTGGCAGTGGACAAGTTGTGCATGGTTCCACGGGTGACAGGAACCACCGTCGTCTCCCTCTCGGCTTCTAGCTCGAGTTCTTCTAGACAGAGTGAGGGAGAGAGAGAGATCGTGATCTTTTCATCGCTTTAAAAGGCTTTCGATTTGGATGATATTCTCTCTCCAGAACTTCTAGTAGCTTTTTCCGCTTTAGAATCATACGTTTCTCAACAGTGATCAAGCTGTGAGTGTGATCGAGCACGGGAGGAGTGTACCAGCCGCCACTGTCGTCTTTGTTGGGCGCTGTGCTCGTCCAGGAAATCAATCAGAGGGGAGATCACCGCATTTGCTTTTGGTTTTCTTCCTTTAAACGCTGTCGTAGAAGCTCGTGTTTGTCCAAAAGATGGAGAGTAAATTTAAAGCTTTGGTGGTGATCAGTGATAACGACGACAACATATCTTCCACTAAATTTTGAGCATATAAGACGAGAAGATGAAAGAGATTATCCCAAGTAATAATACATTACCCATCTAGAGGCATAAGACCACAGGGAGAGCTACCTAATTACACTCCCTACACTCTCTTGTACTTGAAGTCGAAGCTCCTCCGTTTTGCACAGGTAGATGGCGAGGTGGTGGGAAGCTTTCCAGGAGGCCAGGGAGATCTCTCTCGCTCCAAGGGATCCCGGGGAACTGGTCCCGCAAATGCTGAAAAGCTGCACAAGTGGTTCCTCGCTCAATGCGGATGGAGCTCGCTGGCCTTAATTAAATGGTACCATATAGGGCCCAAGGCTTCAGACTCGCTCGATCGCAGGCTTCGCAGATCTTTGTAGTCGACCAGTTCCTGAGCTGCTTGACTGCCTTCGACAACTTCTCGTTGCCTCGTTCAGTGGTGAATTGTTAACTTTGAATCAATGCATGTATTACGTAAGTGATGTAGCACTGGTGTTGGAAAAATTTCACCACTGCTCTGGCTTGTCCCCCGAGTTTAACGTAAGTTTGTGTTTCGTGTTGCCCTCGAGTTTTGGAGACACCCGGAAGTTCCATGTTGGTACAGCTCCCTTCCTGAAGGGTCGAGGACTGCGTAACTCATGGTCCGGGGTTGCCGGATAGCCATGCCAGGACTATCCACGAATGCCTAGGTGTTCAGGCGAATGGCAAATAATGCATGATGCTCTTATGTTGTTTCAACACTTCATCGTCTTCATCTGAATCATTCCCGTGGCAAAATCTGTAAGCATCTATGGATCTAACAAAAACGATCTAAACTGGTAAGTAGTTTCACCTTAAAATATAACTGATCGAAGTCAGATCAGAGACAGATCCATGAATAAATCAAGCACTGAAGAAACACACAGCACCTTGCTTGTCTGATTGCGTTGCGATCCAACAGCCACCACACCCAAAAAAAAGTGTAATTTATAAGTACACCAATCAATCAGAGAGTTATCCCCCTCTTTAGTATTATATTTCTTTCTGCATGGTGACAGGAACCCGTCGTCTCCCTCTCGGCTTCTAGCTCTCGGGTTTTTCTATGCGCAAAAGAGTGAGATCTAAGAGCAAATCCTGGCTTCCATCGCTTTATACATTGCGATCACGTCACAAAAGCTTGGGTTTCGATTTGGATCGTGGAAACTGTGAGTGATATTCTCTCCCAGTCCCAGGACGGAATCAGCGCGGGGGTTAAAATAATTGCTTTCTCTTCTGCTTTTCGAATACGAAGATGTGAACAGTGATCAAACTGTGAATGTGATCGAGCACGGGAGGAGGAGTGCGCTAGCCGCCACTGTCGTCTTTGTTGGGCGCTGTGCTCATTCAATCAATCAATCAGAGGAGGGGAGTCTCATCCTGATACCGGCCTGGTCATTTGCCTTTGCTTTATGTTTTTTAATCTTTGCTTGCTTGCTCCAGCTTCTAGACTTGGAAAGACGAAGGCGTATATCCAAGAGATCGAGAGAAAAGCTTTAAAAGGATGGCGGTCAGTGGCGGGCCTTTAAAGATCCGTCTGAGATGGCGGCGCAGAGGAGGAGAGAGCCACCATAGCTACAGCTCATGCGGGTCGCGGCAGCCCTTGGATGCGGAGGATCGGAGGGCGGGGACGGACTAGAGCTATG